TATGTTCAAGCATATTATGTCCACTGGCCGATCTGGATGTTCGAGGTGTCTAATAATTCGGATTTACAGCGCATAGGTCACAAGGATTTTGTGCTGATCCAGTGTATTTTGGAGTTGGATCTATTAAATAAGAATCAACTAAAACTCATCGCTAAATTGACAAAAATGTAATGAAACTTTAATTAACTTAAAACACTTAAATTATTGTTTTAACTACTCTATATAATTAAGCTCTACCTATGTATTACAATAGTTTGAACATAGTTCAAGGGCAATCCATCAAATATTCAATAGAATTTTCCATTACTGTCACTACAGTAATATATTAGAGTACTCATTTGTATTGACAATTTGTAGATATTTGATAAGAAAATAATTATATAGAAATTATAATTAAAATTGTATAACAAGGAAATAGCCGTACAATGTTGAATTATGTAAACAGTTTAAAGTGGTATATTTTAGGTAGGTAGACGGAATCTTACCTTAAGATTATTGTGAATAGAAATATAAGATTTTGCTTAGTTTCTTACTTACTAGCACTCAATCAATAGTTAGTCCGGATGGATGTTGTAGGTTTGAATCCTAAATTACACTGAATACAATTCTATTTGGCGTACCTAAATGTGCGTACAGATAGAAAAATCCATCGTCAAACCTAATGAAGATAAATAGGAGTGCCACTATATATAGATAGATAATTTCAAACGCTATAATATTAATATACATTATGTAAATAATATTACAATATTCAAGTCCCAAATAAGCTGAGCCTAGTTTATTGAATTTTGATGAAACAAATATTTGATTTGCATTTAGTAATTATAATTCTATTACTTTCGGTTCGTGCAAATGAATTTAATTATTCACGCTCTAATCAATCGGAAAGTGTAAATAAATTAATTTATTAAAACCTCCTTATATTATTTTAAATATATTTATAGGGTATTAGGATCGTTGACCAATAAGTACTAGTAATGTCTACGGCGTAGCACATATATACTGAAGGATAAGTTTCGCGTAGGTTAGGTGAAACCTAGCCACGCTTATCTTTAGGTGAAATGTTGAGGCATATATGTAAGGTCCCATCCTCTAATAGAAAGACATATAATGTGTCTGTAATACTGATAACTATAAAGGCAAGTAGGTGATAATGTTATTTTAAGATATAAAATAGTATCCCTTGATAAAAACATTGTTTCCCACACGAATCGGATTTATAATTAATCAATTTTAAAATACTAAAAATACAGACACAATAGCCACGCAGGTAGTTTAATCGATACGTTTATAATAACAAAACAAATCCTTTTCGGAATGTGTTATATTCGCTCAGACGAATACGTCGCTTTAATAGTTACAAAAGTTAGGTATTGTAATATACTGGCAAGAAGCTATTAAAACGCAATCAAGCGGCCTTTGATAGGATAGACCGTATGTGATCGTATAGAGTGGCCATTTGCACTTTATAATTCCTGCGGTAATATAGATGGGTATTTCATTTAAGCTGGAGAAGAAATTTGTGTTAAACACATTATTAATTATATTTTACTAAATATATAATCAAATATTTATCGTAAATATTTTGCGTTTAACGTGGAAAGTTATTTGAAATCCTACAGCTGAGTTTTATCACTTTACGCCAAGGCAAAATACGATATTCAACCCGTTACACCAAAGCTTCCACAGGGAATATTAAGGCACTTTTCCTAGGTACTACTTTTCTTTTGCCTGTTTGATGGTGAAGAAAAATATTTCGATATACCACTTACTAAAGATAACAATATAAACTAAACTTTAATGAAATACATCTGTGCGTCTACTAAAAAGGTATCGAGTTAAATAATAAAACCTATAAAAAATAATAAAGAAACACATGAGTAAATCTATTTCCATATTTCATAAAGGATTGTTGACTGGACTATTTTATCATTTAAGAGATTTTTAAATCGCTTTTACTACGATACTTGGGTTTAAGTGACTATAAGAAAATAAAGTATCTACTCGTGTCCTGTGTAAATAATCTGTGGCGCTCATCGAAGTTTCATATCGTCCGAGGACACGTCGAACACGATGCCTGATTGCTTTTTAATAGCTTCGTGCCAGATATCGCGTACCAATCAACACTCTTTTATCTTTTCTTATACCTTGTTCTCAGTTTATTTTTACGAAACTTAGGTTTATAGGCGTTAGGTATTTTTGACAAGATTTTTAAAACAATTGAAGAAATCGTAAATCGATTAAAATGTTTTTCATATACTAATACAAATACATAAAAGGAAAATTTTCAGGTGATCAGCTATTGCGTTTCAAAGTAAAACAATTGTAATCCCAAGGGTTAAGCGCACAACTTCTGGCTAGTTTGATTCGTAACTATGCTAAGAAACTGGTTGTAAATTATTAATTATATTTGAAATATTAAAGGATATTATTATATAGGTATTTGACTCTTCACTTATTATCGCCAATTCAATGACATTGCCGGTTAATTTTTTTAATGGCCTTAGATTGCTCAGATATATTTCCTTCGGTTTTCTTATGAACTGTACGAGCTAGTACATCTCGTACTAGCTAGCTACTCTCGTACTAAGTCTCGAAGAATCTATTGGAGCACAGCTAGAGTTTAAACATCGTGCGTTGAGAGAACGTGAGCACTAGACCAATACTGCTAAAACTTATACATATTTAATAATAGATGAAACGGCGCCATAATCCTAACTTTATAATACATGTATTCAATCGGTTGAAAAAATGCGAAAATCAGTTAACTGTCAACCATTACATGCTTCCGCGAACCTCGCGTGACCAGACCACAAACTAGCTGTCAGTTCTAAACCATTAATATCGAAAAAAAATTGTCCTATCGTGCCGTGCATTATGGCAATTCAAAGTCGCATGTCTGATTGTCATACTGTCTAAATAATACCGATATTCAAATGTAAATGCCTATCATAACTTTACACATATTTCCTTTTAATCGCTATGAAATTTAAATGCAATTAACATCGTTTTATACTATACTATTATATTGAAACGAAAGCGTTCATGATTTGCTGATAAAACGTTAATTTTCTGATACTTCTAGTATATGAAATTCTCGTGTCGCGGTGTTTGTAGTTAAACTCCTCCGAAACGGCTTGACCGATTCTCATGAAATGTTGTGTGCATATTGGGTATGTCTGAGAATCGGACAACATCTATTTTTCATTCCCCTAAATATTAAGGGTAGTCCACCCCAAATTTTTTTTTTTAGTTTTTAGATAAATTTTTATTTTTTTATTTTTCATGATACAGCATTAAAAAATACATACAACCCCTATTTTTTATTATAAATGATATAAATGGCAAAACGACGTTTGCCAGGTCAGCTAGTTTTTATATAAAACCCGAAAGTTTTGCAATAATATTTTAGGCTCTTGATTATTTTAGAGTTACAAACCCAAATAGAACAACAATACTATGCAATAACAATAGTCATAAGTATCGTCGTAGACATTTTATAAACTTCTTGGAAGAATTTTGTTGTTAAATAAACATAGATTATGTACTATTAATTAAAAATGAGAAATAAAAGCTTCACATTCTTCATAATAGTTTTGTGTAAATATGTTTCATATAAAAGTACTTAACATGAATTAAAAGCTCACGTAACGTATACGTAAGTTATTTCGCGTAAGTAAACTACGCAGTAAGAAGACCTTTTTCTCACAATTTACATCGCTAGGTGGAAAATATCTTATAAAATTCTACGTTCATTCTGCACTTTATTTCGCCTTCATGGTTTACTTTTTCTTTTCTTTATTGTAAAGAAAAGTTTCTTTATTTCTATATTCCAAAGTATTTACGTACGTTTTCTTGGCATGAATGCGTGGTGGTTAAACTCAATTAAATTAGAAGATATTTAATTTTAATTATACGACAGAATCGTTGACACTTAAAAATGTCTCAGAGCTAAAGAACAATCTTCATCCGTAATTAAGTTAACTTATTGTATTTAATATACATCCAAACACAATTGTTATATATTATAATTGATATATTAAAATAAAACTCTGCAACTCATATAATCGTTATAGTGACATGGTGTCATTTAAATAGTTTTAACTGATGAAAGTCTTTAAAAGGCTTACTATAAAGTCAACGATTATCTAGTTGATAAAAGGGCCTGGGACTAGTGCTAGACAGGCTACTTCTAATGAATTTGCGATATTTGTTTTAAAATAAGTGTTGTTTGATGATTTGCTATTTTAAAAGAGTACCGAGAGTTTCTTACGCCGGTTTTTTCTCTCGGCCTACACCCTCTGTCTTCTTTGCCGATGAGTAGGGATGCCTACAAATTCAAACTTAATGACGTGGAATAAGTGATACATGTATCTTATGTTCCATAATAAACATATTTTTTTTTTAAGTTTTACATTACATTGAGAACTATCTGTTACATACTCGAAAGTGTTATCTCAATACAATTATCGGAGCATTAGTTTTAACATTCCCGAATAAAAATGGAATGGAGCGTCGAAATTAAATATAAAGGCCGACCCGGTTAGTCCGGCCGATGCGTGAAAACGATGACTTCTTATTAATCGGGAGTTCATACAAAACCGGCCCGAGGCATAGCCAGTTTATTGATTCATTTAATTATCAGAATATTTTATCAAACCTGTACCATTGTAAAAGATAGTTTCGATATATTATTGTATAATATACATCTTTTTTACTCGCAAGCTATTCAAGCCGAAATATTACGGCTTCGCGTTTAATAAGCAACAATTTCTGATTTCCTCCACTCGTAGTGGATTTAATAAAACATCGTATAATATGTGGCACACAAAATCCAGTTGTCAGGGATCGTTTATTAAGATGTGACGACCTAACAATGGTAATTAAATTGCGTCAGGCGAAAGAAGTCTCCCGGGGTAACGAAAAATTTAAGTTACAGGAGCTGACATCAACGTCTAAATTAAATTAATAATATTCTAAGCATTCTCGGTTGGTAAGCCATGGAATTAAAGCAGGTGATAAGGAAAGTCACCCGTCTTAGTGGGTATGATGGTATTTGGTTCTGCACTTCTCGCACTCATTATGTTTTTTTTAGTTTTTCTCTTTAACTAGGGTTGCCTGGAAGAGATCGCTTATTAGCGATAAGGCCGCCCGTTGCATTCCTTATAATTTTTATGTATTGTGTTATTTGTGTTTCTTTTATTTTTATTGCAACGAAGTAATAATAAAATCTTTAGAGGTGTCAAGGGACTCCCGGATGGAACGAAATTCCTTTCGATTAATTTATATATTAATTGGTATCATAACAGTATGATAGATTATCTCGACACCAATCTTACGACGAAAATAAAAGCCAACATCGCGAGGTGTTCCCAGGCGGTCACCCATCCAAGTACTGACCTCGCCCGACGTTGCTTAACTTCGGTGATCGCCAGAACCGGTGTATTCAACGTGGTATGGACGTTGGCGAAGCTCAATCGAAAATGTAAAATATAACAACTATAGCAAAAGTGTCGTTACAACTTTTGGTCTTAATTTTTCCGTTAGCCCCCTTTCGCAACGCTCGATAACTTTTCCAACAAGACTAATTTAGTTAAGTGATTCCAAAAATAATTTCATTTCTTATCCCTACAAAAAAGCCAACATAGAGGCGTTCTCAGGCGGTCACCCATCCAGTATGACCTCACCCGACGTTGCTTAACTTCGGTGATCGGACGAGAACCGGTGTATTACAATGCAAATAGCAAAAAGTGTCGTGACAACTTTTCGTAAGAATTTTTTCCGTCTAGCCCCCTTTCGAACTTCGTTCCAATAAATATGACATGCATATTTAAAATTTATGTATACTTGAGGGTAGTTGATAATAAATCTGCTATTGGTGTGTCCGATGAAGAAGAAGAATTAAATTACGCATTCACTAACTTGTCCTCTTGTAAACCAGACGTTATTTTTCGCTTGCAGGTTAAACTACGCGCTAGCCGGTCTAAGACCTTGGTGGTGGCATGCAAGTAATGTGGTCCTACATGCGGCTTGCAGCGCGCTCGTCGCTCGTACGTGCGTTACCATAGCGCGATTGCAGCGGCCGTTTGCCGCACTAGCTGCTTTACTATTCGCTGTACATCCTATACATACAGAAGCGGTAAGATATAGTTCTAGCAATCATTTGGCAACGCAGATAATGGTGTGTCTACAGTTAGAAAAAGCACACTCTAATCTTTAAAGGCTGACAACGTATATAAGCCGGTGTCAAAGAGCAGCTGTATTTTATCGAAACCGACTGCTCGTTTTCCCTCTGCCCCGAAAATTGTGTGATTTAACAATGATGTGCTTTGATATTATTATTATGATACAATGAAGAAGGTATGTATTTAAGATACATGTGTTTTTCAATATAGTGATTTCAAATGTTTCAGAAAATAATCACATTTTTAATTTCCGAATTGGTTGCAGGAATAAATAGTATGATAGTTTTGGATTTGACTCCGGGCAAAACAATAATTTTGGTTTGGAAGACAGAGCAACCTTACAGCAAATGCACTAAAGAGTTATCAGTAACATATGACGCAAAATATGTCTGTAGCCTCCATTTGACATTTAAAATAAACCTTGATTTGTTTTATAGGTAGCAGGTGTGGTTGGCAGAGCAGATGTACTTGCCTGTATCTTCTTTCTATCATCTTTATTAGTATATCATAGGTGAGTAAAACGTTGATAAAACATTTATTAGAAAAAAATTATCCATTGATGCCGTGATTCAAACTTACTGTCGCTTTATCCCTAAGGTAATGCTGTTCAAAAAACTGATAGTTGCTTTTCAAAGTATATTGTTCGATAGAAATAAACGTTCCTTTTCAGTTAAAATCCTAAATTCATTGTAAAATTACATCGAAATACATTTAAGTGATTTCACCACTCCCATTCCGGCGATAATAACAATAAATGGTAGACTGTTAACTTGTAAAAGTCCATTTCAATCATTTATAATTTGTTCATATTGAATGGAAGTCGAATGTTGGAAAAGTGAAATTCAATTTAAACTCTTTATTTTATTTATTGTCTAGAAATATTGTCTTAATTGTTATCCTTTATAAGGCTTAAAGAATGTTTTTAGTTACTACTATTATTTTAACACAAAATGTTTATAATACATGTTATGAATAAATAAATCAGCGCTACAACCCCTCAGATTTCTGAATCTGTTTCATGATCATTTTAAAATCTAATAGGCAAGTAGGTAATCAGCCTCCAGTGCCTGACACACGCCGTCGACTTTTTGGGTCTAAGACATGTCGGTTTCCTCACGATGTTTTCCTTCACCGTTCGAGCAAATGTTAAATGCGCACATAGAATGAAAGTCCATTGGTGCACAGCCGGGGATCGAACCTACGACCTGAGGAATGAGAGTCGCACGCTGAATGTTAATGTTATATGAAAATGTTATAGTTATAGTTAAATGTGAGTAATAATTGTATTTTACTAAAAACTCTAATAATACGGGAAAAACAAAACGATATGCCTCAATGATTATATACAATATTTTGTCCTGTGGCTTTTCATGTGAATTTATTTCCCTTTGCATCGATTTCTGGACCTTTTGAGCTTTGACTGTAATGTAATTAAGGCTGTAAAAATGAATAGTTACCATTTTTTGCAGACCGACTAGTAGCAAGAAAAGTGTGTGCTTAAGTGTGGTTCTGGGAGCTCTAAGTATGCTGGCTAAGGAGACAGGTGTAACAATATTACTTCTCAACCTGGCTATTGACTTCTACAGGTGCTGGCCTTTCGTAAAGAGGTACGTTGGTTGTACGAGGGTTTTACTCTGTGTGTACACACTTAGACTGGCTGTTCTTAGTTTATAAGTTCCGGTGTGACAAAACCGTTGATAGCAGGTCTCATTTTTCTATGCCTTTACGAATCGTTTCGCAAGAACTAAGGACTTTTCGCCTCCACGTGTTATTTGTTTAGTGAACGTAATGATTCAAAGGCAATTAAAGCATACATTACATTGTAAAGAGCCCTTCTAATTATGTATGATTAATTAGAAATTTGGCCTGTTTCCCTATTTCCTTTATAAACTAATTACCTTCCTTGTGTCATGATTGGTATAATTCCTTCACATGAGCTAATTATATTGCTTTTATAATTTAAATAATTACAATGTTTAGTCCGTGTTTTGTGTTCAAGTAGAACATTTAAATATATTATTTTCTAATAGTATTAATATAAATATTAACTAAAGGAAAAAAATAGTCGACAGCGGTAAAGCTTTAATTTTAAATTTAGTTATTTTTTTAAGTTTTCGATATTGAAAATACATAGTTGAATATACATAGAACCTGTATTTTTTCACACTTAGACGCGTGCGTCTCGTGTTTGTTTATAAAAACTAAATTAAGGTAGTGTTTCTTTTCATCACATCATTTATACAATTCGATGGAAAGAGACAAAAAAGTACTTCCGTTAAACATTGCTGATTGTTTTTTTAATAAGTGCGATTATATCAAAATATTTAAAGAATGTGTTTTAATCTAAAGATTTTGTTTAATATAACTTAAATTAAAGAAAATCTAGATTCTAGATTTATGGGAATCTCTGATTTTCTTTAAAACTATTTTTACTTAACAAGTAGAAATTTAAAAACATGTTTTGAGTGATTTATAAAAATAATCCTACCAAGCACTACAACTGTATGGATTTTGGCCGCAAATTGCACCAGTTTCTTTATTTTGTATAAACAAGTAGGCCATCACCCTTCTGCGCTTCATCATGGATTCTTGGGTATGAGCAAGTGTTAATTATGTTAAAAAGAAAAATCCATTGGCACAGCAGTAATTTGAACGCACGATCTCATGGTTGAAAGTCGCACGCTCAAGCCACTTAACAAACACTGTTTTGGTGATTTATTCTTACATAATATTACGACATTAACTTTGAAAAGCCTAAAAATGTTCATGCATAGGGCACTGTAGGCTAATCTTGATTTGCCAGTTAAGAAATATATCAAAAACAAGCGCGAAAGTATGCCTCATGCTCCATTAGCGACACGGGACCTTTCTTTATTGCTACGGCAAGGAATTGATTAATTCGCCCACTAGTTATTATGCTAATGCGACAATAAATGCCTTTTTGCACCTCATACCATAAATAACAGATGCAATTCGACACACAATTATTACTTCACATTTCAATGATTTACTATTGTAATTTGTATTTCCGTACAGTCTATTTTATGACTATTAAAAGTTAAAACATTCATAATTACATAATGTTAAATTTGGTTAGGATATAAAATGCAAATATATTATGGTAGCGATCAGCTTAGTTCCTAATACATGACCAATAAAAATACATAAATATATCTAGATATCTGTTCAATGCACGATAAAGTTGTTGCAGTGATATTATGTTTTAAGAATTCAACGAGTTTGTAACGCTTACAGCCTTGAACCAGGGTAATACTTTATCTATTTAAACAAAGTCTGAAAACATATTTTATTAGTGTATATTTTATTATAGAGTTAAAGAAAACTTCGCTAAAGTATATTGATAACGTGGGATAACGGGAATTTATAAAACGCATGTCCTTACTCGATACACGGTATATTTTTGTGTGATAAGTCTTGTAACTGTGAGTTATACTCTCAAATATAAAAAATCAGTTTCGCTACAAGCTTTTTTTAGGTCTGGGCCTCAGATTTCTGTATCTGTTTCATGATTATTTTTTTGTGTCAATCTAAAGCCATGAAGGTGATCAGCCTCCTATGCCTGATACACGCCGTCGACTCTTTGGGTCTAAGGCAAGCCGGTTTCCCCACGATGTTTTCCTACACTGTTTGAGCGAATGTTAAATTCGCACATATAATGATAGTCCATTGGTTGGAGCCGGCGCTCGAACCTACGACCTCAGGAATGAGAGGCGCTTGCTTAACATTCAGCCAACATTCTCAAATATACATAAGAAACATTCTCTTACCTACTTTAAAGTAAAATATTTTAAATTAACTGATGTTTAATACCTTTTTTTAGGTCAATATTCTCGATGAAAATAGAAAAGAAGTGTGCAGGACTTTCAATAAGAACAATTAAAGTCGTCGTGTCCCTCGCATTGCTGATCAGCGTTCGTCTCGCTCTGTTGCACGGGACATGGCCTGTTTTCTCGCCCCAAGACAATCCTACGGCGTTCCACCCGAGTTTCTTTGTACGGTAAGGGTTAAAAAGTTTTGACATCCCTCACTTCTACACTGGCACTTCAAAATAAGAAGACTAAAATGTACTAAGAAGATTACATACATATTGCATAAGGAAGCTATTGGACTGGCCTGTCAAATTTACATATTTTAATAATTGTTTGTAATTTTAATGAATTACTATAAGAAAGGATATATAATCACAAATATATCTCTATACTAAAGAAGGACAGTCATGGGTCTGTATAATATATACCTCGCGGAAAAAAAATTTAATCACCAAAATACTATTAACTTTCTTTACTACTTGCAATAAAGACGCATTATATATTTGTTTGCATTAGCGGGTGATATGTATGTTTGTGAACAAATATGTTTAGTCGGAAATCGATAACGAAACCTGGGTCTTGATGTATTTTCAAAATATGCAAAGGCAATTAATTCGTGACTGCTAATTTAATATATTATATATACTGAATATTACATTAAATATTGATACTATAGTATAAATGTATTGCGATATCAATAGACCCATGGATCGATAGATTGAACTGAGATTCGTGGTTATAATCCGATGAGTAGACAGCTTACGAAGTAATTATTGACTGATATTAATTATAAGCTGTGGTATTATAATAATTAAGCTAACCACGATTAGTTATTTATTTATTTACTTTACCATTGGTTTGATTTGATTGATTCATTAATCAGCACACTATCCTAATGAATTGGGTTAATCACTCCTGAAACTAGTGAAAAGATCCAGATAAAGTTTATAATAACAATTGTGTGCTGTCCCATATTTTTAATTTTCTTGGACATAAATATAGCATATAAATGGTGATCACTTTATGATAAAAGAACTTATGAAATTTTTCAAATAGTTTTTGTTTGTAGTTGTTCCAAAAGTAAAAATTTACTTTTTATAATATTAGTACAGATACATTTAATAAAAATAGTTAGATAAAAGGAGAACCAAAATGATTTACTTGCAAAGGGTTGTATTTTGTCTTAGTTTAATATATTTTGACTCTACTCACATCGAACGTAGTGCGCAAATTAACGAATATTTGAATTTTAAAAAAATATGTCCACGTATATGAAATGTCTTCAGTATATCAAACTACAGCTATAGCCAAACAGTATAGACAATTGTTTATTATTAAATATGTTTAAAACGACCATGCGGCATAGGGCGTGTCTTTGATACGGGGGTCATAAACAGAACATTTAAAAAATGTGTGCGTTGTCTCAAAATTAACTAAAACAATGTAAACCAGTCATATTATTACCTTCCATTATTTACTATAAGTACATATAACTGACGCGCATGGAAATTTTTATATTCGTATTATTACTTTTAAAAATATTAAAATTAAAACAGCCTTTTGGTACCTTTCCGTGGATCGTTTCCAGCCTAGGTTTCGAACTTCATGAACAAAATTAAAATATAATAATTTAAAATTTGAAATACATCGCCTATTTTATCTGTTATTCATATAATCAAAATATAGTATTCCACTATACATAATATTTAAACCAAAATTCCTTCGAACTATGATACATAAACAAATTGTTATCGGTACCGCCGCCTCCTTCCGTGGTCCAAATAAATTGATTATGAAGAGTCGATAATTGGAACGCAACCGTAGAATATTTATTTTAACTGGCAACATTTCAATCTGTCAGTTCAAGTATAGCTTAGTCCATGCAGTGTATGCAAGCGCTCCGTCATTTAAAATACAAATCTCGCCTATTAGTAATTGTTTTACTTTAATGTCAAAGATGGTTGCGACTTTTCTGTGACTTCTATGGTACGGTAAGTGTTTTATTGAAATATACGTAAATCTATTTATAGCTATTGTTATTGGCGTCCATTTACAAAAACAAGGTGCGTTACGAGCTAACCTATAAATGCCACGTGTTATACCGCTTGTTTTGATTGGTTTACCCTTCCGTGGACAAACTTTTCTGTGGAGTGTCACTCTTGTGGACGTAGTCTTTTCTGTGGACTCTGCCACAGAAAAGTCTGTGTCCACAAGAGTGACTCTTATTGAAACTTAGTATGCTTTTTCAAAACATATTCTGTGACTTTTTCTATTTCTTTTTGCCAATATTATGTTGCATTAACCCATTATGCTTGTTTAATGCTTAGCCTGGTGTGTATGTGGTTTATTGTCATTGTTTCAGCAAATCAAGATGCCTAGAACAAATAGAAATAGACATCTGACTGCTGAAGTAAAAAAGATAAAGCGTCGTGAACAAAAAAAATTAAGTATGCGCCGAGCGCGGGCAAAATTAACTGAAGCTGCTGTTGAAGAGATACGCAAAAAAGATAGGGAAAGGTACCATATGAAAAAAGGACAGAGGAGAAATCAAAACTATCGATGATTATACACCCAGAAAACAGCGAGAAATAAGAAAAATGTGGCGTGAAAAATCAAAGAAACGACGACAATTACTAAAGATGCGAAAAGCTACCAGCGCTCTCATACAAGAAAATACTCCACCACCAAGTCCATCTTCATCATTCTCCCGAATTGAAGTCGGACGTGCAGTAGCTGCTCGGAACAAAAGAGAAAAAAAAATTGAAAATGAGACTCTAAAGAAAAAGGTATTACATATGGCAAAACAAATAAAAAAATATAGAATGCGAATACGGAGGATAGAAGAAAGAAAGCAGAAAGCGTCGAATGTGGCTAGTCCTAAAAATAAAGTCTTGAGAACAAACGTCAGAAAAGCTGTGTATGATTTTTTAATACAAGATGAATACAGTAGATTAACATCAGGGAAAAATGAGACAATAACTCGGAAGAAAAGCAAGCGGCAAATTCGTTTACTGAATGACACACTCTTAAACTTACATGTGATATTCCAAAGCAAAACAGGGATTAAGATTTCATACCAGACCTTTCGTAGATATCGACCTTTTTGGGTATTGTTTCCGAAAACATCAGCAAGAAACACGTGTCTTTGTACTTTGCATGAAAATAATGATCAAATCATTCGATCACTTCAAAAGGCGAAAGTTGTCTCTTACCGATCTGCTTCTGATGCTGTTAAGGTACTGTGCTGTAATAATACACTGAATCCTAAATGTTTAGAGAGAGAGTGTCAGAGCTGCCGAAATAAGAAACTTGTGATTAATAATTTTAATGAAAACGATTACATTACTTATGATAGATGGGTCACTAAAAATGTAGATGTTATTGTCAAAGGCGAACACAAAAAATACAAGAAATGTTTGAAAGAAACTGTTAAAACTATGAAAGGCTCTCTAGTGAAGTTATTACATTCTAATTTACCGTTATTCATGCAACATGTAGCAAATATGATTCATCAAATAAGATCAATCCAAACAGTTAAACAACAATTAACTTCTGCTGAAGGCTTATTGCATATAGATTTCTCAGAAAATTATCATTGTAAATACAGCGCTGAGGTTCAGTCCGCTCATTTTGGTGGCTCTAAGCCTCAATTGTCTCTTCATACTTGCGTTTACTATAGCAATGCTGAATCACCTAATATTGGTTTTCAAACTACGTCTATGTGCTCTATCTCAGAAAATTTGCGTCATGATCCTGTGATGATCTGTGCTCACCTTAAACCAATCTTACAGAGAATCAAAGAAATTAGTCCGAACTTAACAGAATTACACATATTAAGTGACGGTCCAACAACGCAGTACCGAAACAAATCTATGTTCTTTTTAATTGTAAACTTCATAAGCCAAGATTTAAATGATGTCAACAATATTATATGGCACTACAGTGAGAAAGGTCATGGCAAAGGTGCCCCTGACGGAGTGGGTGGTTGCATCAAAAGGCTATGTGACAATTCAGTCGCAATGGGTAAAGACGTCCCTGATTATGATTCTCTTATGTTATGTTTAAAAGAAAATTGTAAAGGTATAGAGATTTACGGAATAGGAGATCCAAATGTGCAAGATATTCAAGAAATGGTCGCCAAAAATAAAATGAATGCTTATAAAGGGACATTTAAGATTCACCAACTTTCTTGGAATCGAAGCGAACCAAATATTTTACATGTAAGGAGGCTTAGTTGTCTGTCTTGTGCTACAAATGCAGTTTGTCCACATTTTGAAATGGGTCAGATAAAGGTTCCAGTCGCTGATACGCGATCACATAGTCCCGTGAGTTTAGCTGACGCAAGAAATATATCTCCGAGAAGTGTAGACACAGCCAATGCTTCTACAGTTACTTATAGGTCAAATCTGGTTACACCTGAAGAAGAAACAGTTTCTCAGGATTCCCCTCACATCTCACGTCCCTATAAGAGATCGAGGTTCCTATCAGACTCTGATGATTCAGATGTAATTTTTCCTCTACAACGTATTCATCCATTACGCACAGACGGCAGCGATGAAGACGACTTGATTATACAACCTCAGCAGGCTAAAAGACTAGTTTTCAATCCCTTCTCTGACAGCGAAGATGACGAACCTATATTCTAGCGTAGTTCTAGCATACTATAAGCGACGACGTTTGTAACACGCTATAGTTTCGTCATCTTTTGTTTTATGATCTATTTTCTCACTTTATTTGTAGAGCTCAGCTATAGTTGATTGATAGTAATATTTAATTAAGAGTCGACCGAAAAGAAATCTCTTCTGTGGACATAAAATAATTATTATTTTTTTAAAACTAGAGTTTATTTTTTTATCTCATTTTAAATTGAAGTAGTATAATACAACCAGATTATAATGATTCTAAGAAATATATCATTTTTAGTTTAGTTATACGTAGCCAAAATACACATTTTATCTTTTCTGTTGATTTTGTTGTCTATTCTGTGGACAGTTAATAATTAAAATATCTAGTTATTAGTACAAATTAAGGCTTCGATCTCTGATAATATTTTTCCCATGATTATTTTATCTTTTTTCTTAATAAATGCTGATTAAAACAAAAAAAAAACTACTTTTTATTTTTTTATTTTTTTCATACCGGATTTGTTTATGACCCACGGTCAATTTTTCTTCATATTTTACCCTACTGTGTCCCCGTCAGATATTATTAATTTTCCAGAAATAGTCCCGTTCATACCAAATAAACCCCGAAAGTACTACCTACACCAGCAAGTACCGCTTCATAGTGCATTATGTATGTACGAGTATATACCATCATACTTAGGACAAATGAAATTCTTTTTGAAGTTAGAAGAAAAGGAGAGAAGATAAAATCTACGACAACTTAAAGTGTTAAAATTATAGCGGCAAAACATATTATACAAATTGGACCCTCACTAATGCCCAAATCAAAAACACCTATGGCTTATCAAAGAGCAATGGAAATACGTTACTAAATATAAACAAAAGAGATAGGGTTAGAAATATTTATATTAGAAACACGACAAAGATAGAGGCAATTACAACGAGTAGTCGAAAGGACAAGTGGAGATGGACAGGACACTGGAGTAAAACTGTATTATGTTGGTACCCAACAATTGGAAAAAAGTTAGACGGTACAAGAGATGGGAAGAATGGAAGGGTCTAGAGGAGGCTTTTGTCGGGTCGGCAAATGGACTTAAGTTTATTTTTAATTGATTGTATGTGAGAAAAAGGGACTTATCCGAAATAATGGCTTTTTTATTATTTTATTTTATGTATGTATATTCTTTTGATATTTATTGTTTAAGAATTAAATCCTCCGTAACCTAACTTGGCACTAATTTAACCTCTATTGTGATGCTGCCAACTTCTAACTCGCCCCAAAATTTGTTTTCTATTGTGAACCGGGCAAAGTTTGCGTTACCGTCAATGAACATGAATGAAAATTCAAAATTTCTATAACCCTTTTGAAAATCTTGTAATATAATACGATTCAACGTTAACACATGAAAGGTAATATTGAGGAAATTTTGAAGAAGTTTGTAAGATGTTGGAGCTATTGTTAGGTTTATTATATTCTATGAAAAGAGTTTTCATATACAACCTTTTTTTTGCAACAGCAACATTGTTTGCCGCCATGTTTGGTTGTGCATCAATAAAACGAGGCTATTGTTTAATAATTAATACGCAAAATAAATCTTTATTACTCTTATTTTGAATTTTGTTAAATTATTATTGTAAGAAGAGCAAAAAACAGGTTTATTACGGATTGTAAAATTTAGGTTTATGCTTATCTTATATTACACCATTTATCATTGAATTCGTTTGTTAATATCAAATCAGTGACTATGGTTTTGGTACATAAACATTTTTATCTATTCTGTGGTTTAATAAGGAACGCGCGGTTCGAAATTCAAACTTCGCACCTGCGTGACAATATTACAAACGCTTTCGCATTAATATGATTACGTTGTAATAGAAGATGGTTATTTCCACAATAAGTAGAAATGGCTAATCTGTAATAGCCGCAAACACATTCGTGCGTTGTACGAGCATTGTGTTTCGCATACCGTACGACTTATTAGCTTTTATAAGCGTCGCTTTGCAAATCTCTTGGATAAAATAAGTTATAATGCCTTCGCATATTAACTTGTAATGGAACTTTTTCTTTATCAAAGTAACGTCTTTTTTTAGCCAAAATATTGTACTTGTATAAGTTTAAAGAGTTTAGAGGCTGCAAGTAACATTATGCTAATTTCAAAAAGTTCCCAGAATTCTCTTAATGAAAGAGATCTTTTATGTATTGTTGTACTTCGTCGGATTGAGTATTTTTGGGCTAAATAACCATGACGAAATAAACCTATATAATTACAATATATAACTATTTACTAGATAAGTAAACTTTAATAAAGTAAACTAAAACTTGTTATAATTAAAATTAGAACAAGTTCTCTCCACACTAGTCTAGCTTTCTCTAAGCCGCCACGTGTGACTCATAGAAGTATGCGTCGAACGAGTTATCTTGCATTACCTAAAGTACAGTACGAACTACGGCAAAAAAAATGTTACCTACGAAGACGCACAGCTGTATAATAAACTACCCACAGATATAAAAAATATTACTTCTATCAATTCATTCAAATCTAAGCTAAGTGAATATGTTAAACAAAATTACTTTTAAATTTATTTCTTATAATTACGTTTAATTCATATTTCTTTGGTTACTTTTATTTTTAAGTTTATTGCATGTACAGCTATATTTTATTGTGATTATTTTAAGAACGACTACAATGTTATGTTAATCTAGAGTATTATTCTCATGTAAGTGAAATTTTTTGTCTTTTTGAGAAAATAAAGTCTTTTAATGATAAATCTTTTTTAACCGTCTAATGTAAAAAAATTTATTAAGTTATATTATATTTACTCTTTATTTTAGTTTAGTATATATAGTTAGTCTTCTGTCAAATTCAAAGTCCAATCTGCAATGGAAGGCTATCCTACAGGTCTTCTCTAGTCATATTGTAGGCACCTGTGTCTCACCAATAACTGTATTATGTAAACTTGCTGAGGCAATGCAGACATTATGATTACTCACATGGTGTCAAGGAGTTGGGTTGGTTCTATATCTCGTTACAACTATTTCTGTACTAAATCGGGTTATTTAAATAAAACTTCAACGGATATAAATGCAATTATTTTATTAGATTACTAAAGAGGTTTGTAAACAAACCTCTTTAGTAATCCTGTTCATGGCGCGACAGGACATATGAAATAATATATATTTTTGGTTTATATTCGACAAAGAAGCTTTATTTAAATTTACGTAACTAAGACTGCGGTCGGTATGTTTATGCCATTTCATGCTAAATGAATTTCACTCACCTTAATTGATATCTAAACCCGTTTTTTCGTACTCTTCTAAAATCTTTCAAGACCGCTCAAATTACTTTTATCTTACAGACTGATGACATTCTGCTACCTGGCTGCCTTCAATTGGTGGCTCCTTCTGTGTCCCTGGACGCTGAGTCATGATTGGCAGATGGGCTCTGTGCCTCTCATCACCAGCAGCTGGGATCCTCGGAACCTGCTTACTTGTGCTGCATTGGGCACTCTTCTTCTACTCTGTTATCGGTGCTTTACAGATATGGAGGTATGCGATTAAAAATCGAAATAAACAAAGGTTTTCTAACTAAAAACAAATATATATATTGTATATTATATAATATAATGCATGTAATGAAAATGTCTACAATCGAATGTTTATTCATATAGTCACATATACAAAATAATAAGAGCCCATACACTTTATATATTCATTAAAGATCTCGTTCATAATTAATCATGAAAAGGACTATTTACGAGTACTAAAGATTTAAAATTTCCAATTTGGACCTCCTGTAATACGCTCAAATTGATATTTTTCAACATAAAATGATGAAAGTAAACTGAAAATATAAGATCTTATAAAATTATTTATATTTAATGATTTCCAATTCATTTTCACCTAGGTACAAAGGCACTGTCCAGTCTTCGTGGGTCTTCTTTTTCTGGTCATACCTTTCTTGCCTGCCAGTAACTTGTTGGTCACCGTTGGATTTGTCATCGCAGAACGTGTTCTTTACATACCAAGGTAATTTTTCATTTCTGCCTTCATTTTTCGCTCACACGGGGGTTTTCGCATCGGCGGTCGCTCTCAAATCAGTCGTGAAGCAGTAATTTTATGATTTGGCTTTCTGAAAAGCTGTGGAGTGTACATGTCTATCGCGGACTTCTTATAACTTCTTAACTGCTATAACCCTGATGTTTATAAAGTCTTCTTTTAAGTTTTTCGTAAGATTAATGAATTATAAAAAAAAAAATGTTTGTAACATTTATGCTTCATGATATAATAGTCGAAGAACACTTTGTTTCTTATAAAAATTTGTTTGTAGGAATTAATCTCTGGAATCAGTTCAGTAGAAAATTTATTAAATAATTTCTCCAGTAATAAGCTTTATTATTCGTAAGCCCATTCTTGATTGTATTACATATTTCTGTTTACCTGTTTCCACACAAAGCCTTTTAGATTTTAGACAGCAGTGCTACGAAAGAATATTTATTTCAAAGAATTTATACTCATGAGGATAAATGGAAAATTGATCGTATAATGAGAGCATATTTACGACTTGTTAAACTAATGAGGTTGTTACTGGGTTAAAAATTAACCCCCCGAGGGTAAAGTAATAAAATACTCCTTATATAATACTCGTTCGTTAGAACGGCTCACTTAAATCGAATTCTTAAAATATTTTTATTCTTCACAGAACATGATTGAGAAAAAACTCTGGCAGATGAAATAAAATAACTTTCTAGAATCTAGATCAAACTTTTGTTTATTTGTTATTTATACTTACTTATATTACTATACTTAAAAAAGTGATACAAAATTCATACTGTTTTGCTTGATGAATATGATTTAAAGAAATGTCTTGCCGCACAGTAAAGCAATGTTCTGTGACAATACAGAAGAAAAGAACGAACAAGATCACAGATAATTGTGAAATAGGCTTTATTTTTGTGTCGTTATAATACATTTATTTCCTTATAGTAAACGTACAACATCAATCTATTTCGATTTTGTCACAGTGTTGGAAGTGTAATAATAACTGCGTACGGTGTCCAGCTGATGTGGTATTCAAAGCCGGGATCAAAAGTGTTTCTGGTTGTCGGTCTGGTGGTACTGGCTGCTAGTGGGGTGGCCAGGACACACAGACGTAATGCGGACTGGCGCGACAGGGCCACATTATTACGGTTCGTAATCTTTTAATATATATAATTAAATAATAAAAAATTATTTTTGGCTTCAGATTGCATCCGTTTTTATGATCATTTTTATTTCATTGACAAGTAGGCGACAGACTTCTGTCTGACAAATGTCGGATTTGAGACATGCTAGCAGCCTATTAGTATTAGATACGTACATAGACAATAAGTCCATCGGTCCACAGCTGGGAATCGAACCATCTACCTTATGGATGAGAGTACGCTGCAACGACTAGGCCAACGCTGTTTTTAATTAATTATGATACAGAAGCATACAGTATACACGTCATTTTCATTATCTTTTCTTTGGTTAAATTAAGTGTAACAGATATGTGTGTGTAAGCCAAACTTGAATATGGGTTTCAAAATTTAGGTACTGTTCTGTACTTGTTCTTATACGTAACAAATCACATAGGGCAACGAAAATTTCAGGGAATTACTAATGTATTTCAAATTCAAAAATAATTTCATCATATTGGTAACACAATGTACACTTATGATCGTGAAAAAAAAGAACTGTATATGAAATGCTTCTAGCTTTACATTTAGTGCCAGTTCTCAAATCAAGGGCGTAGAACGGAAGAGAAGAACTGGCAATAAACTCTCTGCCACGCTTTTTAATCGCCATATTTTTTTTTACACAACGTTTGCAAGGAGCTGCAACCATGTTCCACATGACATCTTAAGTAATTAATAATAATAACATAAATTAAAAACAAAGACTTTTCCTCTATCAGCAGGAGGCATGGTGAAATCGGAGCACGCACTTACATTCTCGTGGGAACAACACGCAAACACATAGTCGAAATAACTAATATCACCACATACACGAATTCAAGTACGACCAGTCACCACAAGTGACTGACGTTTAACGTAATCTTCCCAAATATTAATGCTTAGTTTTAATGTGGAATACTCGCAGTCGTGATAAAAACCGCTTTATCTAGTTTATTGACATAAATTGCAGTTGGATCTGGTATACAAAAATGCACTTAAAGTTTTATATTTCTTGGCGCAGAATACAAGGCATGATAAATCGGTTTACTTTAATGTGTATTGTTGCTAAGTTATAGTCAACCAACAAACTTTACAAACATACTGCGTGTAATTGTCATTTGTTTTTAAATTTACAGTTCAACTTTTTGAGTTTAAAGTTTTCTTTTCCATAACAATTACTACTTTTTCTTTGTATGAAAATGATATAGGTACAATTGCATTATAGTTTGTAATACATTTTTACTATGTACAAGTATATCAATCTCAACATATACATACATATATCTCAGTATATTGTATTCTATAGTAACGCAACTAATCGTTAGTATATATAATATAAGTTACAAATATATCAAAACGAAGAATAATATCAAAGTAATTATAACACAACAACATGAGTTAAAATATGTTGAATAACTATTTGATTTAGAATACCTTCTTTGTAACTTAATATTTTATATTTATTCTAAATGTACGTGTTCAACTGGTGGAATGAGGGTAGATATTCACTTATTTATGCGCCTACCCTCAAAAATATGATATAGCGGCGGCCATTGCAGATACACGTCACCAATCCAGGGCAAGGCCTGCATTCTGCGACAAGCTTTTACGTACTTAAGTCGTAGGTGTACATTGCTCTTCTGTAGCCATTAAACAAAGCTAAAGATATATGTGTTATTTTTATTTCTAGCGCGGACGTTGCAAACCTGCCACAGAATGCCAAACTTCACTACAACTTGGCAAACTTTCTACGTGAAACAGAGCAGCCCGACTACGCCATCAAGCATTATAAGGAGGCTTTGAGGTTTGTGAACGTGAAGAACTTTTTAACTAGTAATTCACAAATTTCACTTCCAACAGGAAGTCATTGTTTTCTCGCATTTCTATTACTTAGTTATTAAGACACACAGATTAGGGGCTTTTATAAAGCCGGTAACCGTGCCAATAGTTGCACGTTTAGATGACTGCATAGTGCATAATTCTCTATTTCAAAATGCATATTTGGTTGCAATCATAGAATGTTGTACACAAGGGTTTATAGCACTACAGTGCATATAAACCAAATTGTAAATAATTGGTTGGATTTTTATTCCTTTTTGTCAACGGCGTACAATCTTCGATTATTATTTATTTTAGATATTTTATGAGTCTCTCAAATGTAATAACGTTATATCTTTTATATATGACTCCGTCAATATAAGATATATATATGTCAAGTTATAATTCCAATAAAGTCCCTCTCTCTTTTTGTAGACTTTATAGTTAGAAAAACATCGCATCGCATGTTATTTATTTTTTAAAGCAGTGTTCCTCATTCCTTTGTGAACTTTCTTTCGATCTGTGCAATTAGCACTAGCTTCAACGGTGAAGGCAAACATCGTATTGAAACCGGCATAACTCAAAAACAAAAACAAATGACATTCTCATAACAGAAGGCTGAACACCTACTTGTTTGTGAAATAAAATTGATCGTAGAAACGGATGCAATCTGTAGGGTTGTAGCTTATTACGTATTTATTTTAATTATTGTTATATTACATAGTTTAAGTAAACAGCTTGTTATCACTATCTAAACATATTATCACCATACTTTTCTGGATTAAAGTACCCACACGTAGTTTATCTTTATTTATTACGACATTCTAAGTTGTACAGTACTGAGCTAGACAGGTATTGCATTGCAGTACTACGTGCTGCAGATACGCGTATGAAATTCGCAGAGAAATGTAATTTCTTGAAATTAACATATTTACATAGAGTTATTTCCTTGCTCGAGAATATGCAGTAATTTGTTCAGATGTCTTTTGATAAAGGAATAAATTAGTTTAATTAATAATGATCATGAGTTATTTAATTTTAGTCCTAATTATTTATAATTATGTAAATTATATAAGGTCTCGTAACTGTTTAGATAAAATAATACCACGCCGTACCTCTTAAAGGCTCGCTTTCACTTCTTCATGGGGTAGGGTTATTCACTCATAGGCAATGAATGACTTTTGACTCTGACTGAGTGATTTCTCGTGAATAGTTACCATGCCACCAGGTGTGACATATTGTCTTTATTCTTGTGCCAATATTAAAACAAATGAACGTTTAGGAAGACTGTTGGTCTCATACCTACTTCTTTTGTATTTAAACTAAAATATTTAATTGTTGTCAAGGCTTGTAATATAGAACGTCAATCAACCTTAAATCTAGATTCGAGAGCTGTCAAACTATTATTTTTGTATGAAGTTGACAGTTGCTGTATGACATATTTGACAGTTCTGAATCGGAGACTTGAGAAACGAATTACAATATTCTAATTCTATTCTATTTCTTTATTCTATTTTATAGACCTTATTAAATAAGATAAGGTTAAGGGTCTAAGGCCTATATAGACCTGATACAATTTTTTTGCATTAAGCTTACACATTTCTTCACAAGGTTGTGGCCAACATACGCAAGCGCCCACAACAACATTGGAACATTGGTGTCGGGCACAGACAATGCAGAGCACCATTTTCTACAAGCGATACGATACAACAAACAACATGTCAACGCTCATTACAACTTGGGAAAGCTTTACAAGTATGTCTTTGTATTCCTTAACCTCAGAGTAGACATGGAGGCGTATAATTGTATAATTGTGTATTTTTGTAGATATAACAACCGGAAATAATACTTTTTCCCCCGGAAATGGAATACCCAAAACTTATATTACTTAGTATACTATTAGTTTTGGTATTTAGTTTCTTGTAGAAAGTAATTTTATAAAAGTGGTTCCGGTTTTAAAACCAACATTGAGATAAAAGCGAAGTAATGATAATGTTTCTTTAAAATACCGCATAGCTAACCATTTTTAAGAAACTAACTCTGAGAAAATTTACACTAATTTAAAATAACTATAATATTAGTAAACTTTTTAGAATCTCAGACAGCAAGTAGTATCTTTCTAAATATTTTACAAAGTTTAGGTAACTATGCTCAACGTTAAGCGAGCATTCCCAGTTAACTCTGATAGTTAAAAGCACGCCACAACTCCAGAACAATAGAAGCTTGTTAACTTTATTTCATAACATATATATACTGTATGCTTATAACCTCAAGAGGTAAAAGTTCCATTTTATTTTTTCGGAATCACGTTGAAATGATAAAAATCTTACGTAATCATTACATAAACGTATCAAAACAATAGCATGATCAATCTCGACTTCGGATATATAGATAAAAGAATATGTTATATATAAATCTAGGTAAATTAGGTAGGTACAAAGTACAGCAGTTTTTTAAACACTATTAAAGTGAGCAGTGTTGTCCTAGTGCCAGCGAGCGACTCTCATCCCTGAACCTACGACAGGTTCGATTCCCGGCCGGACCAATGGACTTTCTTTCTATGTGCATGAAACATTCGCTCGAACGTTGAAGGAAAACATCGTGAGGAAACCGGCTTGCATTAGACCGAAAACGTCGACGGCGTGTCAGACACAGGAGGCTGATCACCATGCTTATTAGATAAACAAATGATCATGAAACAGATACAGACATCTGTAGCCCAGACCTAAAAAGGTTGTAGCGCCACTGATGTATTAAAGTGAAGAAAAAAAAAGTTTTCTGTAACGAATACTATTTTTTTATTTTATGCACACATTTATATTACACCACGTGATGTCATGGCCAGCAAGAGATTGAAAGAGAATTTCCAATTTATATTTATTAAAGAAGTTTTCAATTAAAATATATATTCTAACTGTAACTTTTCTTGCAGGAAAACAGGTCGTATGGAGCAAGCAATAAGAATGTTGGAACGGTGTATCACGTTGCAACCTCGATTTGTTCAAGCTCATGTTGAACTGATGTCGTTGAAACCAGAAACAGAAAAATTGAGCATTTTGAGAAGACTGGTAGAGTTAGAGCCTAATAACTGGGAACATTATATTTTGTATGGAAATTGGCTCAAGAATAAAGGTTTGTTTTGCGTAAATATTGTGGATTTTCTTTTATATTTTCATGTGCAAGCTAAAATTTCATTCAAGTGTGATTCTAAATTGAAACTATCAAAAAAGGAAACAGTCGTATTGTGGATTATTTTTTAATTAATTTATTGCCTTTACTCAGTGAAGAATTTCAAATGACCTGAGTTTGAATCCTGATAAAACAAGTAACAGTTTCGAGAGAGTGTAACGCCTTAGTAAATATTATGACTATAAAACAAAGATCATGAATAAACTAAAGCTAACATTCACAGGTCTACTAGGTCCAGCATCCAAGTACTATTTAGAAGCAACAAGAGTTAGTATCCGTTCGAAGTCATTACAACGCGCCGTGCGGGCTGACCTCATCTCCTTAAGATCAACTGCACTGGTGTATCGAGCTTTAGGACAGAAGTCTAGAATTTTACAGCTTTTGACACGGTAAGGAAATTATGCAAAAGCACCTGTTGATTGACTATAAAGATTTTGTAAACACATATATAACAGTGACCAATATTCTAGAAAATTGTACTTTTTTATTTTGGTACTAATTTTAAAGCAGTGTGGGCCTAGTGGCTTCACTTTGCGACTCTCAACCCTAACGACCTAGGTTCTATCGCCGGCTGTGCACCAATGGACTTTCTTTTTATGTGCGAATTTTAACATTCGCTCAAACAGTGAAGGAAAACATCGTGAGGAAACCGGCTTGCCTTAGACCTAAAAAGCCGACGGCGTTGTGTCACAGGAGTCTGATCACCTACTTGCCTATTAGATTGACAAATGATCTCTGAGGCCGAGACCTAAGAGATAATGTATTGCACTAATTAAAGAAAGAAAAAAAGAAAGAAAGAAAAACTTTATTATACACAATATACAAGATATTTAGATAAAGTTAAGTGCACTGGCCCACACTAGGATTCCCGGTGTTGTGGGCAGCCAGTTGTGTTATAATTTATTATTTATTAATTTTACATATAGAATAAGAGAACATCAAATGCATTCGCTATGACATTGATTTTCAATAAGCGTAGTCTACGAGTTGCTATTATGCGAACGACACTCCTGATAAATAAAGCCGGGAAACGCGTTAACAACGATATCATCAATCAATATCGGTTTAATGGTGGTTTTAAAAAGATACGTGTGCTGGTTTAATGGGAGTGTCCTGTTGTGAATTGGCCTCCTTTATCATTATTGATAATGTATGTCGCGAAATCAAAGAGCAGTGTTGGCCTAGTGGCTTCAGCGTGCGACTCTCATACCTGAGGTCGTAGGTTCGATCCCCGGCTGTGCACCAATGGACTTTCTTTCTATGTGCGCATTTAACATTTGCTCGAACGGTGAAGAAAACATCGTGAGGAAACCGACATGTCTTAGACCCAAAAAGTCGACGACGTGTGTCAGGCACTGGAGATAGATCACTTATTAGATTTAAAAATGATCATGAAACTGATTCACAAATCTGAGGCCAAGGCCTAAAGAAGTTGTAGCGCCACTGATTTTTTTTGTCGCTATGTTGAACGATACTATATTAAACTATATATTATAAAATACGAATGTTTATAATACATTATTTTAACTAAATTATGTATATTCAAAGCCACAGGCTGTGAGCGAGTTTGTTGTTTGTTGGTTGTTTTCTAATATCATCAATTAGGATTTTTGTTGACATCGTAAACAAAACGACGGAAAAAATTTGGTGAGGTTTATCTTTAAAATAAGGTTAATATGTTATTATCTACTAGCTTTAACTTCTATTATTTTGCAGATGGCACACATGGCGAAGAGGGTGGCCTAGTAGCGCTGCCGCCCATATGTATTGGAGAGATTGGAGGCTAAAGATGGAACTGGAGGGGAGAGTTCAGATCTATTCCAAAGCTGTGAATCCTACCGTAAGTGAACTAATAAATTCGCTGCCCTGTAAATTGGATCTATATATTTTGTTAACTCTAAGATATGGTATACAGATTATATACCATATATGTAAATTATGTTCTCTATTATATTATTACTAACTGACCGGGCAAACGTCGTTTTGCCATGTATATCATTTATAACAAAAAAATAGGGGTTGATCGTAGAGGGGTGAAAATTAGTTAGGTTGTATTTAATGCTGTATCATAAAAAAATAAAAATAAATTTTTTTATCTAAAAAATTAAAAAAAATTTAGGAGTGGACTACCCTTAACATTTAGGGGGATGAAAAATAGATGTTGTCCGATTCCCAGACATACCCAATATGCACACAAAATTTCATGAGAATCGGTCTAGCCGTTTCGGAGGAGTTTAACTACAGACACCGCGACACGAGAATTTTATATATTAGATATAAAATTGTATACTACTAGCCGTTTTACAATGTACGTACGTACTTGTGTTATTGGTTGAAATTTGCGATCTAACCACTAATTAATTACGTTAATATTATGTGTATTCAGAAATTAATTGATAATATAATTAGTTTATATAATTTAGAATATAATATTGATGTACACTATATACAGTCTGGTATTTATTTATTTAAAAAAAGTGGTTTACTTACTTTTATAGAGTCAGGTCAACAGGGATTATAATATTTTTGGCACTTAATATATGTTTTGAGTAAAAATATAGAACATATTTGAATATACGTTATGTTACTCAAAATCCTGAACTTACGCTGGAGTAAGTTCATATCCAGTTGTAAATTCATACAAATGATCAAATAATAATAATTTATCTATTTTAAGCCGCAAACAAAATGTTCCATTGTTATTGCTTCCAAGCTCTTTAAAAAATAAAGTACTATTACGATAAAACATGTCACAACTATTTAAAGTTATGAAATGTTTAACTTAGCTTTCTTTATACATTTACTAAAAGTGTGTTTCCTTTTTCACAGAAATCAAAAACTTGCTTTGACCACAAGCACCTGGTAGTTGAAGCGGTTAAAGAGGACATCCCCCTTAAAACCAAGAACAAAGTTAAGAAACAATTAAGTGATTGTGAAAATGTTAACTGTGCGTGCACTTCTTGTAATAAGAAAAACCTATATCTATCAACTCAAATAAAGAATACGCACAACAAATCCGAAATCGGACTAAAAGATAAAAAATGCAGACACAGAAAGGAAAATAAAGACAGCGATCTTATGCCGAAATTGGGTGCATTGACTGAACATATTCTAATGAAAACTTTTTAATATGGACTTATAGTAAATACGCTGACAATATCGCGAGGTTAATGTAGATAATGTTTATGAGGTTAGGAATTTTATGAATAGCTCTTGAACTATATCAAGCTTTTATGGAATTTAAGTTCTACTAACATCAACGGTAACATCGAGAGGAGTTATTTATGCTATATGTAGGTATATAGTATATATATCTAAATGTTTCAATATGTGATCAAATTATGAAATGTGTCATTATATCGACGACAAACATAACTGAACATATATTTAAATATTTTCTAATGTATATACATTAAAAAATAATTCCCAAGCAAACACTATATTCCCGTTTTATATAATTAATATATTATGATATTATTTTATTCATGAAATATCTAACCTCAGGCAGATAGATAGTCAACTAATATAGGTAAAGATTTTGTAGAGAAGAAAAAGTATATTTTTGACAGACGGGTAAGCATAGACAATGCACGGTTTATACGCTAGTTTAACTATTTGTATTGTATTTAACTCTTTCTCTTACTTTTCCTGCCAATAATAGCAGCGTATTGTGAATTTATGTATCTCTTTTATACTTCACTGATTTTGTTTTGAAGAATTTTATAACATTTTCTTACAATACGAAAAAAAGGATTAAAGGAGTAAATCAAACTTTAAGATACATTATTATAAAGTACTTGTTAAACAGAAATGTTAGTGCATAAATAATGTTTCATACAGAACTCTTAATTCGTTGTCAAAGTTGGTTGTAAGAAAAAGAGTTAAGTGACGGAATTGATAATAAGTATAGAATAAGCTTGGCTTTCAGCGCACGTCGGCCGAAAGCTTATACCATATTTAAGTTGTATATACTAGGATAACAAGCACCTGATAATGCTTTCAATGTAATATTAATAAACTTTTTCGACATATCACTTGTATCATTTTATATTTTCCTCTTTGATAATGTTTAGAATATTTTATTTAATACACTTGATCCAAATTTCTATTAACATCAACAGCGAAGTTTATTTATTAAGTAACACTTGGTAGGCAAAGAGAGCTTAAAAATTGACTAAATAGACGTAGAAAATCTGTGTCTACTTACGTTTTTTTTTGTATTGGAGCAAACGGGCAGGAGGGTCATCTGATGTTAGGTGATACCGCCGCCCATAGACACTCACATTGCCCGAGGGCATGGAAGTACGCTGCCGGCTCTTTAAGAATTGGTACGCTCTTTCCTTCAAAGGAAATAAGTCGAATTGGTTTGGATATTGGTTCCACGTAGTGGTGGTGCACGGCAAAAATTGCCTTACAACGCTCAGTTGTTAAACGATGGACGTATTCTGCGTCGACGTCCCATCATGAAATTCAGCTAAAGTATTAATACGAACAAATTATGGGGTACTACGGAGCTTTAAACGTCACTTTTTAACAGGTAACAGAGTCGTAAGGAGAACCGCCAGCAGTAAGCTTAGTCGAATACATTGATATCAGATAGATCTTAACTGGAAAAAATGAATCTTTTAAACATAGAATATATGGCCGTTATATATACTTGAATAATTAATTATATATGTCTGTACTAATTTAATTATGTTATGAAAGATGTGCTCCTGCTTGTACTTGTACATAGCAATATGCATACACATAGCAGCTTACTCAAATAATAAAAAAAAATATTTTAGTCTGTTCCACGATCATGTTTTAAAAGCTAGATAAAATTATATTTTCGTTATATTAACCATCCAGTTTTAATTATCCTAGAATTTCTTTTGACCTAAAAGGGACGCCGAAAGTGACCTTCTGAAAATAATACTCACAAGAAAATTATTGACGCAGTAATCTGACATTTATAAAGGTTAACCTTTATTGACTTGCTGCTAATTAAGTCTTTAGAATAATTATAAACTTCTTAACATGTTTTACGATGAAGTTTCAATTTATTAGAGTGAAAATTGAGGTTTACCCATAAACAGTAATGAGACTTTTTATAGGTTTTTGAATCATAAACCAGTTTTTGCGTTATAAGTACCTTATGAAACAAAGACTTGGCGATTAAAAAGAGTGACGGAGTATTTCTTGCCAGTTCTTCTCGTCCGATCTACGCCTACTACACTTGCTCAAAGATAAATAGATAATAAATTAAAATAGATTGTTTAAATCTACATACTACTACTATATTAGTTTTTAGTGGCGTACTGTCAGTTTTTGAAATTCTAAAATTTGCTAGCCTTCGAAGAATTGGTGCGCTCTACATGATGTATTTTTAAATATATAAATGGAAATATATTAATAAATTAATATTTTTTTGCGATTTTTATTTTTATTGGATACGGGTCAAACGAGTATGGGTGGATTTGAAAATTGACAAATAAGGGACAGCAGAAATTAGTGTTGCCGACGAATACCGTTTTCCCGAAGAATCAAATTTAAGGTGCTTTAATATAAAGTAAAGGAACTTCATAATACAGTATCAGAAATATTGTGATAAAAATATGTCTTGATCTAGCAAAGTTGAATTTTCTTCCTAGATGAAATAACTAACTGTATATCCTTAGAAAATAAATGAATAACATTTTCATAAAAACGTGTACCCAGTAAAAACTTACTTTCACTAGATGAAATATGAAACTCGATAAGCTTTTAAATTCAAGTCGTTGTCATTTAAAAACCTGAAGGCAAGTGAAAAAGCCTTCAAACGGTTGCATGTCAAAGAACGATAACGCATAACTGAAAACCGGAAATGTCTTTGCCTCGTACGGCCCTCATTTATCATCACAGAATAAGCATTAAACTTTGTCATTTCAACATTTCATTAAACGATTAAAACCTTATGACAGTTAAATTTGAGACGAGAAATTAGCAATTATAATGGCGTTTTTAATGTAATTTGTTTCGAAACTTTACAAAAGCAACTCTTAAAACTAATTTTTACTCTCGCATAGTGACGCTAAGACAGATTTAGATCTTTACTTATAAATTAAGTTTAAAATGCTTTTACTTAATACATGTCGGAGACAATGTGACGTCAAATAATTCAACACTTGCTACTGCTAATGTGTACTAGGATTTAAAAAAGCAGAATTACTTTGTTACTGATTTACCATTTTGGCAAAACATATAAAGACCTCAATAAATCACAGAAGTTGTTTTAATTATTTTATTTTATTTAATTTGTTTAATTTTTCAAAAATTCGTTAATTCTTAACTTATCTTATTTGCCATACAGTTTTGTTAGAAGGAAGAAACACCCAGTGCGTAATCATCTATTTTTTTGCTCTATTCAAAGGCATGCCGGATTCCTGTCGATGTTTCTTTACCGAGTGAGTGTCCATTATGCACATAAATAGAAAAGTCCATTGTCAACAGTCGTGATTTGAAGGAACGACCTGAGTATTAAGAATCGCTCAAGCCAGCAGTGCTCTTCCAGTAAGAGAGCCTGTAAAAAAATTTAAGAACGCATTGTCTCCAGCACATTGGAAATTTTTAAACCAAATTCGGTTTTGTTTTTATGTTTGTTGTAGTTATATTTCAAAGTTCATATAGGTTACTTTGTGGACGTCACTAGTCTCTCTATTATCCCTTACGAAGGGTGCCCTACCAATTATTCCGACCGATGAGGATATATGACAACTTCTTGACATTAGTCACTGCCTTTACGCCGGACAGTCAGAGGTTAGACTGTTCAAGGATCCTCATTTTAGGTCGGAGAAACAGCAGCACCTTCCTTCCTGATAAGCCCGCTATCCTAACTATTTACATTTCTTGATTATTATGTAACAAACTATTATATTCAGCATTGCACTAAGGTGCAATTTGTCTTGGGGCAGAGGCTAATTATTTTGCATCTAACATACCTAAATGAGGTTACAAATAGTTGAATTTAGCTTAGTTCTGGCTATTTCAGATGATAAAAATTCATTCTTTTTAAACATTTGTTTTTTGAAATATATACCTAATATTAATAGTTTCGTACCAGTGACCACGACGTCAACAAAACTTACGTTATTTAATAATAAGTCAACTGGCTCAACTCTAATTAAAATTAACTTCGTAATACGTATAAACTTCAAGGCGTAAAATATATTAGAATTAATATGCCTCAATTAAATCTTATTAAAATTTGTCATATTGTTATTCTTTATACAATTTTCTCTTGTTTCTAAATAGGGAAAAGAGTCTCATAACACTGATTCCCTTAGCAACTATCTCTTTCCAGCATAGCGTAAACATAATTTGAAAGAGTATTGTAAGGTACTCGCAAAATAATAAATTGGATTGATTAGATACATTGTGATAGAAAATATAAAACTGTTTCTACTGGCATATGCTTCCTTATATCTGACTATAACTTCACATTATTTAGAAGCTGACACGAACCGATCTTTAAATTGAATCCTTACATATTTTAAAATAAAGTTCCTCAGCCAATCGACTTGCCTATGTTCTCTGAACGCGATTAACTTAAAATCACAGAACGGAATTTATAAAAAAATTATATAGCTAATATATTATATAATAGTAAGAAAGGTTTAAGCGTATTAAATTACTGATACATTACGATGAATAGGATTTTACAAAATATATAATCAAATTCCACGTAGGTGAAATATAATTAAATTAAAATGGTTAAAAGTATATCTAATTATGGAGATTATTTAATATGACTGAGTTTGGCTAATATACTCTCTTAAATCTGATAAATATATGGACGTTAACGTTTTAAACTCAAGTTGATTTCAAAATAAGTTTAATGCTTTATCTATGTTTAATACTGGCGTCAAGTTATTATAAATTTAGTAAACAAAAGGCTAAACTAGCATTTCTGTTACGACTGAGGCTTTCACTGTGAAGCCTCATTGTCAGTTCAGCAATTAGCCTCCATTGTGTTGAATATGGGCGAAATATACAATTAGATCTGTTCTATCTCAGATAGTTAATTTCGCCGACGTGAAACATGGCATTGTTTAAGAATTGTATTTTCTACCTAATAAATGAAGATGGGCCGATGGGCGTAAGACTTCGCC